CAGACGGCGCCGTGGCTCTCGGTGGCCCGCGGGCAGAAACGCCCAGCCACGACGCGGTGGGGCCAGCAGCATTTTCTGGCCTCTCCGGCCGCTCGTGCGCCCTGTGACTCTCCCGGGGAGGAAGGCAAACCCCGGGCTTGGGCAGCTGCAAACCGCTGGTACCGACGACAGCAACCGGACTCGTTAGAGAAAGCTCTTACGGGACTGGATCCAAAGCTGTGACACGAATATCCTCTCTGCCCCCATAATTCCAACCATTTTCTCAGTGGAAAAGTCAGAAATGCTCTTAGAAGGCCGAGCACTTAGTTCTGCTGATTACTTTTTTTTTTTTTTTTTAAGAGAAGTGCAGTAGCTGCCAGCTCCAGAAATACACGGGGTTATAAATGAGCCTCAAGTTACAGCCTTAAGTCCATTACTCCCAAAGTCGGAATGATTCTTGCATTATTCCGTGTCCGAGCCGTCTCCTCCAGGGAAGCATCCCTTTCAGAAAGGCTCTCGACTGTAATTTGATCAGTACGATCAGTAAACTTTTCCAACTGGTTTGTCATAATTAATAAATACTTTTGGCAGAATATTTTATGTAATTTATTTACTTGGTTTTGTCCAAGTTCAGTTTGTCTGCTCACTGTCCAAATTTAATTATCAATGCTGCAGTAAGGCTTCCTTCACGGCAGCAATTACCAGCCTCTGAACTGTCAACGCAGACAGTCACGTTACCTGCCCCTTAGCCTTTCTCTGCCCTGTCTGAACACACTTAGTTTGATCAGGGAGATAGTCCTGAAATAACTGCTCCCACTCAGGCAGGAGATACGCGTCCCTGAGCGGCTTCCCCAGGTGGAAGGAAAAAAAAGCAATATAGGAAAGCCTTAAAATGACCAAAATGCCACAGCAAAACGAACAAGGTAATACTGCCCTGGCGTAACAAATAACTGACGAAACAGGAATTTCTGAAGAAGTCCAAGGAGCCCTTGAATTATTACTGATATGAAATGTGTTGCAAAATACCCCAGAGAGCAGTGTGAACATTTTAACCAGGTCGTTCTTAGTCCTGACTAGCAGAACGCTGTCGTGTTCCACGGGACCTCAGTCACACACTTGAAGGCTATGAGAAACGAGGATTCCTGCCAAAACATTTTTATATTTAGTTCAGAGTTCAGCTGAATTTATTCTTAATTTGTTTATCTGACTAAAGGGCTGTAATTTGTGACAGAGCATCATAAACACCCAATTTGACGTGAGGGTCCATATGCCCATTTCACACGCACAAAAATTCAGGCTTCCATTTCGAAGTCTTGAGTTTAGATTTGAGAGGAAAAACTTGTGAATAGGTCATCCTTTAACGGGAGAAAAAAATTCCTCTCGTCCTCCTACAGACAGAGGCAGGCTACACTCAGTGCCAGGCAAACTGCCTCGGTTTCTCCCGCACGTCGCTGTGACACGGCAGCTCGGTTTTGTTGGGCAGAACTCCGTGTATCCCCGCTCACCGCAACGAGCCGAGCACGCTCCGCACGGCGAGGACTCGGGGCTACGCTTGACCCATCGAGCTTTCTTCTAACAGAAGCCCTTCGCAGGACAGAAACACCACGCTGGTTTAAAGGCGGCGTTTCTTTCTCGGGCACTAAACTGGTTTTGCACGTCAGGTTTCCACGTGTGCTTCGCTCCCTTAAAGCGGGCTGCGTTTCTGCAGAAGCCCTAAGTACGGCAGAAGCACCCGCGAGAGCAGAAACTGCACCCAGAGGCACGAAAGTGCTGTTCCTACCGAGCTTTTTGGGAGTGCGGGTGAAGGTTCCCTTCACGGTTCGGCAATGAGAGTTGTCCCCGCCACAGACGCCGCACTTATCTTCAACCTTATTGGAGCCAATTTCCTTGTCACAGCCCACTTTCTGCAGAAGGAAGAGAGGGGAAAAAAAAAAAAAAGAAAAAAAGAGGAGGTTTTGTCCCTGCTTGTCAGTTTTAGTTGCGGTGGGAAGCCATCGCAAAATTAATGCGTAGAGGAAATTACCACCCAACAGCGATCTGTTCTATTTAAATGCCAATTACTTGCAAATCTGGTGCTGGATAATGGTTTTCATGTAAAAAACAGCAAGTGATCCTTCCTTTATATTCACCGTACTTCAAAACTAAGAAAGATGGGAACGAGAAAAATAGACGCAATTCTTTTCAGACTCAAAACTAAGCGCAAAAAAGGCAAATGAAACAATCGGTTTAAGAGGAGCGTTTCCATGGAACGGGATCTGTGCCGTTGCTCTAATTTAATTTAAACCTCAAGGAATTATGAGGAAAAGGATGCTGCAAAAGTTTAATTTAGAAAGACCTGCAGAGGCCGTCTCGGCGCTGCTGAGCGAGTTGCTCAGCCCGACCCTACGCAGAGCGGTAACGCAGCGCAGCTCCAGCTCCGCGCTGACCGTGGCGGGCTCCCACTCACCACGCATTCTCCCCGGACACAGATGCTGTAGGGATCTTTGTAGGAACAGCGAGTCCCGTCGTGTGCCAGCTGTTTCACGTACGCAACATCGCCGGTTTCTTTGGACTGGCAGTACAGGTGACATCTCTTATTAGCTGTGTAGCAAGGAAAGAGAAGTAACTGCAGAAACAAACAGCAATCCAGATGTGCTGCAGAAAAATACCCCACTACAGGAGTGAGGAGAATACAACAGAGAGAGAAAAGATCTTTAACAGACAGCTGTGGGGGAAAAAGGGCAGCTAGTGTGCTTCTCTGTGAATCACGGGGCGCTCTCAGGGATATTCTCACAGCAAGCAGTTCCCTTCTCAAGAGGGACTGGGCTCTCCACTGTTCGGAAAGCGGCTTTCACGCCGATCCTGCTGGGATTTTACAAAACCACAGGGAGGCAGGAAAACCACAGCAGAAAAACGAGTCTGTGAGGAGACGGTGCTAAAGCCAGGTGAAAAGCACAGAGGATGCGGGGCTCTAACTCTGTCCTGGTTTTGAGAACAGCAGCTGAAGAGGTTTTTCCCGGTTCACGTCTGAACGTAACTCCCCCGCCAGCTGTGTGAAGGGCATGACACTGGCGGAGCAAACGCCAGCCACTCCGCAACACCCCTCAGGGAACTAGGGCTCTGTCCCTGTGCCCGAAGCCGTCCCCCTCGCCCAAGGCCATTAACGGGCTCGATTAATGTCAGTAACGAAGGCTGACAGAACGGGCCGAGGCAGGTGGATCTATAAAAGAGTGGGAAAACACTACAAAGAACTTCTCGCCTAGTGCCACTAGAAAAACACCGTTAATGCTTCCAGCAGGCGTGACCGAACATCGGCTCTCTGCACTCAGGTAGCGGGACAGCCGCAGGGCAGAGGGCAGGAAGGGCTTTCCCCACCCAGGCAGCAGCTTTCCACGCTCTGCCCCACGGGCAGGGAGCCGCAGCTCGGCAGCACTAAACGCTGCGAGCGCCCACCAACTCCCCCAGCAGGAGCCAAGAGCCTCTGGCCACACCACGCTCTCACTACGAGCGGGATGAAAGCCAGGGGAAGCGACAACTGTCTCGCGTGGCACCTCGTCCTTCCTTCTGGAGACGGAAATGGTGAACAAGAGCCCCGCAAGCTCTGGGAGACGCCAGGATCGACCTTAAGAAAGGCAAAGAGCAGGACTTACGGTCAGGGTGTTCGTACGGCAGCCAGTGATGCTTGCTGCCCTGATACTCAAAGTGGGAATTTCGCTGCTGACACTGCTGCGCTCTGAAGTCCTCAAAGTGCTTCGGACACTCCTCTGTATTGCAAAGTTGAAACTCAAAATTGACACCAGCACAGTCTTCGCCTCCATTAATGGGCCTGTGAAAACAGTCAAGAGATTCTAAAACCCTCTGGGGACTGGTTTTCCCTGTCTTAGGTGAAATTTCATACTCTAAGAGACAATTTGGCCAAGTGGCGTGGGAAGTGACAGAAACGCTAAGAGAGCGGTTACACCGCCCAGACACACGCTTGCGATATAACCTCCACGCTTGCCGTGCATCCCCAAGGCGTACGCCGGAGCGCAGAGGTTACACGCGCGCACGCATATGCTGCCAAGGGGCCGTTTACAATTCGAGATTGGCTACGTTGATCCTTGCTGAGCTCACACACTGTGCGCTCTTCGCTCTCTTACATATCAGCTAAATCCTTGGGACGGTTTTCCACAGGCTTTCTTCTGGACATTCTTGGATTCTCCAAAAATGATCCCGGCTCCCTGCAAAAAGCTGTATTTCTAGGGCCTTGAAGCCAACGTGAATTTTGGCAGACTCCACCCAAAACGTGCATGCCATTTAAATTGACACCCGTAACTGAGCTCCCACCCAGCCACAAGACCTACATTGGATTGTTGCACTGGCGTGTTCGAAAGCGAACTCCAGTTCCGCAGGTCCGTGAGCAGGAGCCAAACTTCGTCCAGGGGCCCCAGTTGCCGTCCTGCTTCAGCTGGTTCGCGTTCTTCCACATGCAGTGACCTTTATAGCACCACTGCGAGGAAGCGGGCAGGGAAAGCGGGTGAGAACGGGCACAAAACCCAACCCAAATGTCTAACCGCAGTAAAATGAAAAACACGCAGAGGGGAGCTCACGGGCCGAGAAGGGACTTCTCAGAGGAGAGACTGCGGGCAGAGACCTTCCCGGGGACAAAGGGGGTGAGGGTCTGCGTGCTCTGGGCCCGAGAGGACCCGATCCCCCTCCCTGAAGGAGCAGGCAGCACCGCCGAACCCCAGCCTGAACCCTTCCAGGGGCAGACACACGGTCCGCCCTCCTCTTCACTTATTTAAGTAAGTTTTGTTTCGTTCGAGTCTTAGACGCTACCACTTTTTTAAAGGAATTTTCATGTTCTGAAGATTAGCAGGATAAAGTTTTTGCTGAAGACTGGTTGCTTTTTTTTTTTTTAAATTTTTTTTCCCCTCCTGCCAGCCAGTTATCCCACTTATGCGAATGGGCTGGAACAGAGGGCTGGTCACTGGGCTGGGTGGTGTTCTGCTGCTGGCTCAGGCGTACTCAGATGGTGGAAGTGGCTCTCCTGTATCTCAAAACACACGGAATTTGCTAAACTAACATTTATTTGAGTATAATTTTATAATTGAAAATGAATTAGCAGCAGGACACCCACCAACGGGGATATTAAAAGGGAGAAATCAAGAGCTAATCCTATGCCCTCCCAAGCCTGTAGCCACAGGATGTCTGGACCACAAGCACAAAGAAGCGGTCCTGCAGCAACGGCATTATCCGCTACCGTGGATTCCTACAGGCACCTTATGGACGCTTTGCAGATGAGACGAGAATCCAAAAAACCTAACAAAAAGGCCACAGAGGAGGCTGAGAACGGCTTACACCTCAACTGGGGCTTCTCTGTCCAAAACGTGCTTTGTACTAGGACAAACCTCGCATAGTTCACAGAGCAGCGCAGTGGGAAAGCACAGCTCCCTCTTGTCCTTCCTCTGGCTCCACCCGGGGAATGCCGGGCAATTCCCTGGTGTCCTCTGTGCCCTTCAACCCAAATGAATGCAACTGTCGGGACTGGTTTTTTTCCCCAACACAAACATAGGAAAACCACAATACTCACTTTCCCAGGGGCGCATTCTGTCCCATCGAGTGGAGGTCCTTTCTTCGTCTTACAGAAATACGGGTTATCTGGATGGCTACACCACAACTGCTTGCACGGGTCAAAGGTTCGGAACTGAAATGCAGAACATTTATGAGATGAAACTCAGCATTGGATTATTAATACTTTTCAGAGAAGGTTTCAACCCACCCAGTCAATTCATCTCACGCACACGGCTACCGGTAAGTACGGTATCTTCAGAAAGAGAAGGGCGGTGCTTGGTCCCTGCATCCCCTGGTGCTGAGCTGGTGAGAAGGGGAAAGGAGGAGACACCCAGCACTGGGAGGAGAACGAGGAGTTTGTCCCTTCTTCCTTGGGATCACTACCACACGTCTGTGTCCTGTGGACCGTGCCGCCACCCACCTGACCGTTAAACCAAATGACCCAGCTGACGGGGTTTCACCCGTACGTATCTCTCTCCTCTTTATGGGTCTGTTTAACGGCTCTTCAGTTCCGAGGAAATGAGTACATCGCAGCGCTTTAATAAGGCCAGACACCAACTCGCCGAATGAACGTTTGTCTGTGCAACGACTGCCTGGGACGTACCGCTGTGCACATTTTATAGCCAACGCCAAAATCAAAGCGGCACTGATCGTCCATGGAATAATTGATGCCTGGCAGTTCAGGGAGCCTGGGCCAGTCGTGTTCGAAGGGGTCGTCGAGAAGACAGTCGTAAGAGCTGTGGAAAGATCACAGAAAAAAAAAGATCATGAGAAGATGTAACGATGCACGTTCCCATCAGGGAGCCTGGGCCAGTCGTGTTCGAAGGGGTCGTCGAGAAGACAGTCGTAAGAGCTGTGGAAAGATCACATAAAAAAAAAAGATCATGAGAAGATGTAATGATGCACCTTCCCATCACCAGAGGCAAAAAACAAACGCTCCTTCGCTCTCAGTGCCAAAGGGCAACAACTCAGTGTGCTTCGCCCCGGAGTACGATTCCTAATGTAAAGCCTAACGCAAAGCTCTCTGCAGTCGGAGGGAGTCTTTCACGGACTTTCTGGAGCTCTCAACCAGGACAGCGGTCTGAGAACAGGCCTTCCTACCTGACATCTACTGCACGCGCAGGGACGAAGCCCCGCCTATGCAAAGGGCAAGAATAAGGCTTGCTTTTTTCTCGTTCCCGTCAAGACATCAGAGTTAAAAACAGCGCTACGGGTGGACTGCTCCTCCTGCACTGGGATGCTTCCCTTCAAGCTCTAAGGTCTCAATCAACTACTGTTTTCTGCTTTATGTTACGAACAGCGTTTCCTATGTAGGAGATGTGGGCCAACTCATGGAGTTGTCACCCAGTTTTGACTGGCAAACCCAGCTGTTTGCAATGGAGAAGGAAGCCTGAGCAACGAGGGGATGAAGAGGTACATACATGGAGGGAGGCTAGAGCCAGCAGCGTAGAGAGCTGTTCTCCTTTGCTCCCTACCGCAGACACGCGCACGCATCCGCCTTCTCTCTTCCACAACCTTTGCTAGTTCCTTTTCTGAGTTTAGGGCTTCATCCTGCCAGTTTCACAGCATAACTCCTAGAGAAACCAAAAACCTAGGGCAAACACAGCTACCTGACATCGAGTCTGCCAGCGAGACTCCTGCTACCATCGCCCAGAGGACGCAACGGCTTTGAGCAGAGCCCCAGCTGAGGAAGCGTCAGTCCCGGGTCCGGGAGCAGCCTACCGCAGCGGCTCTGCAGGCTGCGTCCCCGTTTGGAAGCAGAGCGCAGGCCAGTCCCGAGGATCCCGTTCCTCAGGACCTGTGAGCCCCCCGCACCGCCGTCTTTACCAAAAGGGCTGCCGAAGGCAAGGGTGCCGTTTGTGACGCTCGTGCCTGCTCCGTCACGCTGGGATCGCCTCTGCTCTGCTCTTCGGTCCCTAGCAGAGGGCACCGCACCAGCCCCACATCCCAGGAACCGCCAATTCTTCTCTTTGCTTTACAAAACAACTCCCGCCGAGCGCCGCCAGCTCCTTACTGTATGTATCGCTTGAGTTCCTGGCCGCTGCACCTGGACCAGTGGTAGCGATGGAAGGCAGCCTGCACCAAGGGAGCCATGACGCTCCCCATTGCTGTCTCATCCCCACATCTGTTCCCTTGCCCATCGTGCTCCATTCCCAGCCTGTAAGAAAGAAGCGCCATCAGAGCCCAGGCAGCTTCTGCTCTTCAGCTGGTAAAACAACCGTACAGAAAACAGTTTCGCGTGCACAGCTCACGGCGGGAAATCAAATTGTTCTTTGCGATCTACAGATTATCACCTGCATTTCAAACTCATCTTCTCTGATGCCAAAACAAAAGGACTCTCTGAATACTCTTTCATTTATACTTTATTTGTTAATACCAGGCATGAACTAACCAGATGATGACGACTTCTTATGCTTCGGATAAAGGAAAACAACAACTCTGCTCGTTAGGGAGAAGTTCCTGCAGACACCGAATTGTTCACGTTCGTATACTCATTTATCACAAGCCCCTGTTAAACACAGCGCTAACACGGTGATCGTGTTGCGCCTCCCAGGAGCCACCACGGTTAGCGAGTCACATCTCCACGCGTGCAGCTGGTACAGCTTAGTACGCAAGGGACCCGGACATCTCCGGCTGGGCTAAACTCCTCCCAGCGAGCGAGCAAGTAGCCCGCACTGCTTCAGGAAGGCAACAATCACATCCTCAGGGCTTGACATTAATTCATCCAGACAGCAAACAGAGATCTTTGCTTAATCAGTTACTCCCAACTTAACATGGTATCACTCTTGAAGAGGTGCCAAATCTAACGAATCAGCACTTTCACTCAACGAGAAGAAGGAAGTTGAGGATGCCTGACAAGCTTCCGTCTCCACTGCCTGCGCCTTCCCGGTTTCTTACCGACCTCTTCCTCGCCCAGAGAAAACAAGTTCCCCCCCCACCTTCACTTACCTCTTCATTGCCTAAACCACTGACGCGTTCCAAGGGGATGGAAATAAAATTAGGATAGCTTTCATATAGCCATTAAAATTAAACCACTGGAAGCAAGCAGGAGACGCAGCACCGCGTTTTGTTGGCAATCTAATTGTACAAGTTAGACTTACACGTGACCAGTTTCATGAGCGACCACAAAAGCTGATGAAAACCCATCCTCGTGGTTGAGAGTGCAGCTTCGGACCGGGTGACACATGCCAGTAACAGGAGCATATCCTATGGAGAGAAATCACGTCTGATCCTCTTAGCTGTTACATTGGTTTGAAATGAGATCCCCCAGTAAACTTACTACCTGTGAAGAACCCAGGATTATTTTCGTTTGATGGTCAGTTTTTCCTCTGTCTTTGCAATTGCTGTCAAGCAGCGTAAATGGCTCTGAGATACCGGGACTGGTTCCACAGACATCTGGGTTACGTCAGGCACTGACACTTTTAGCACCAAACCCGCCCAAGACTCCTGTCCCATTATGGGGTAGAGCTATGGGCTGGGATTTTTTGCCTGTGTTCACACTAACACCTTCACCTACGTACTGCCTGGTGCCTATCGCACGCCGTTTCCCCAGTAAAAGCCAAAATCTTTCTGATGACGGGGAAATGGCTAACATCTCAACCTACGCAGTGTCACTCCAGGCACGCCAGCCCAGATCTGAAGGAGAACTCAGACCCTCGTCTCCCCCTGAAAGGGGAAGGGAGCACGGAGGTACCGAACACCAAGACACCTCCAACTGGACAGCCAAACCACGGTCTCACCCAGACTCTTCTTTACCTGCACTGACATAAATCGCACTTGGTGAATTTACTTCCCGTTATCACTAGTTCCTTGAGCCATAAAGGTTAATGCAGGAATCAAAGCAGCTGGTACGCTATCTATGGAAAGAAATCTACAGTGAACGATGCAATAAAAGAAAAGTGAAGTTGAATGCAAAGTGCATCGTGCATTCCTAGTGATCCCTGCACACGCACGCACACACCCGGTGTCTGAACCAAGTAAACAGCTATTTACTTACATCTCTCAAGTAAGAAACTTAATCTGCTGCAGTTGGATATAAATGGCAAGGACCACCATGGCAAGGTCTACTTGCTTCTTAGGAAGTATGTCAGAGGCACGGGAGGAAGTGCTTTCTCTCCGCAACAGAGGCACGCGTACGTGCTCAGGCAGTCCACGTGGGCCTTCCTGAACCCAGCGTGGGGAACCGAGAGTTACGCCGAGTGGACACGCTGTGCCCACCAGGACCAGGTTTCAATATGTCTTTACAACAGAACACTTCCCTAAGTACGTGCTGAGTAAAAGCCCACGTTGCTTACTGCCTCAGGACCACGTAACAACGCAATTTTCAAATTTTCCTCTTTTCTGGCAGGCGCTCGCACAGAAACACCAAGTCCAGACAGTTTTGCTCCAGCTCGGCGGCATTACCTTGCATACCAGCGGGCCCAAAATCTTGCCTGGTTAAGAAGATGGCATGGTCGTGGTGCTCTGAGTGATTGGGGTCCGACTTCTGCTGCTGATACGCCCAGCGGCAAACGTTCTCCAAGCTTCTCGAGGGATTCCCCCTTTCAATCAAGCTAATGGACTGAAAGAGCAAAACATGAGACCCAGGAGCTCCTAAAGGTAGCAAAGTCAGTCAAGCTTTGATTCGCTTGGAGCACCAACCAGGTCCCCGCTTCTCTCTTCCACATGCCCTGTCACTCTAAGGCACGACAGCCTTCTTTGGGATGAGAAAAGAAAACGTGCAGGCTAACTGACCACGCATCCGTAACGGTACATCGTTAGGGTTCTTTTGAAAACAGTTTAACGAGCGTTCGCATCCTCTATGAGGATAACTGCCTTTCTGTGTAGCGTGCGGGAGGAACGCACCACTTGGTGTTAGGATTGAATAAGGCCATTTTGCTCTCTTTTGTGGGAACTCGCTTACGTTCTGGGCTGCTGGAGGACAGCGTGGCTGAGCTGAGCTGAACGAGAGCTGAGCTGAAGGAGCACGCAGCGACACAGGCAGCCCGCGTCGGGGAACTGAACACTACAAACGCACGGACAACGCCTCGGCTGCTGCAAAACTCTGCAGTGCCAGTACACGATGGACACGGATTAAACGCCTGGTTCGGTGAGACTTGATACAGCGTGGGCCTACAAGCTCAGTAAATTTAATTACAAGACAAACATCAAATGTACACGATGGACACGGATTAAACGCCTGGTTTGGTGAGATTGATACAGCGTGGGCCTACAAGCTCGGTAAATTTAATTACAAGACAAACATCAAACGGGTCTTTTTGACTTGCCCAAATTCAACGCCTGAGTTAAATGGAACAGGTATGATCTTTACCAAACCCTGAACAGCATTAGCGCCTTCCTCTCGTCCTGAACAATTTCACGAGCATTTGTTCCAAAACCCCCCGAGTGCATTTTACCAGCAAAATCAATGTAGCGTGGCAAGTACTGCCCAGGGTAAAAAGCGGAGGAGCGTGCCGAGCCCCAGTAGAAGTACACCAAATGAGCAAAGGAGACGGTTACGCCGCTTGGGGAGGGTGTGCGCCAGCAAGCTGTGATGGTCAGCCAAGACGACTGCTTCTGCTCAGCTGGCGTAACTCCCCGAGGACTCGCGAGGGCAAGAATCGAGGCTGCAAGCCTGAGCAGGCTGAGCCGGTCCTGCACGGCATCCCAAGGGGCCGCTGTCCCAAAGGGACAGTCCCGGGCAGGCTCAGGAAGGAAGGCAGGTGCCAGGCGGGGAAGGCAGCTCTCTGGAGCTAGCTGCTGGGGGGCTTCGGCTGCCAGAGCCCTTCGTGGCATTCGCAGCGGCTGCAGTCCCAAAGAAGATGACGGCGGAGAGCCGGTTGGGAGGCTCGCTTACCTTCGCGTACCCCAGCATGATCATTCGGACCAGCACAACGTTGATGTGAACCCCCAGGGACTCGTCGTGGTAAATTTCATTCACCTGAGGGGAAAAAAAAAAGGAAAAATTAAAAAAACCAAAACCCACTGATGATACCATTTCTGCACACACGTAGGCACGTGTTTAGCTTAAAAGACATGAATAGTACTCTTGATTCTGAATCGATCTTAAAATTACCAGGCAAAGCGTTTCCAAATCCCAGAAATGCTTTGGAAATTTTCAACCGAAACTTTTAAAGTCAACAGTGTTGCCAGAGACGTAAACGCTGCAGTATACCTTACGGGGTAACGATATCTCCGAACATACTTCATTTCTGCAAGTCAATGTGTTCCGTAAAAAAATTTACTGGCTGCGTGAAAGCAGGTACCGTTTATGTGATCTGGAGAAGCTTCCCACGGTAAAACCAAGCGCTGGCCTGAGCCAGCACCCATCCCTAAGACAAGCCCACGAGACCGCCAAACCGCTCCTCGCGGACCGCAGCGAACAGAGGGGACAGAGCAAGCGTCCGAGCGCGCAGGCGGCCCTCGCAGAGCAGCCCAGGGCTGTGCACCGAATCCGGGCTGCCGAGGGCTCCAGGGGCATCTCCCACACCGTTTACAGGCAGAGCTTCGACTCAGGTGCTCTTGGCCTCATTTCCAAAGAAAGGGCAATTAGTCACTCCCTCTGTTAGTTCCAACGCCCCGATCAATCTTGCCCCCCCTTTACCGCTTTCCAGCAGCGCTTGCAAAACAATAAAGATCTCAAAGAAATTAAGTAACCCGAAATTCTGTGCAAATAAGCAGACGATTAGAAGGAACGGTCTCATTACCGCTGACATGGAAGGACAGACTGCACACCCTTTATCGCACAGGCGCGGAGGAGCTCGGAGCAGACGCCCAGCGCAAGAGAAGCTTGTGTCCCGTTAGGGAGCCCCGCAGCAGGACACCAACCCAGAGCTAACGCTGCCGTTCCGCTGCTCACTGAACAACTCACACACCTCATGCTGGCGCTTGTTTTGAAGAAAAAAAATGGTTTTTTTAGAAGCAACTAATACTGCTGCCCTAATTTTTAGAGATAAATTAGAATTATGTGGTCACATCTGTACTAAAAAGAGTATCTGTGGAAGTGAAGTTAAAAACCCCAGAATTATGCAGATGGGTCAAAAATTGTTCTTCTTGAGGAGCTTCCTTGTGTCTGGAAGGTGAGAAACGTCCTGTCACCAGAGTATAAATTAAGGGGCTAAAACATCTGCACATCATCAATGAAGTTACTCATCCCCCTCAAAACTAAATATTATATGATGAGTAACTGGTGAAAAATAAATACCACTGTTCAGAGGCTGGTATGGAGGAGCAGCATTTAGAGGGTTGCATTTTTTCAAAACTCCCCCTTCCCCTCAGGGAAAAAGGTCCTTTGGGGCTGTCCAGACTGCGGGCCCTGGCACAGTGACGTTGCCCACGGATTTTAGAACCGCGCTCCCTTTTAGGGCCAGCTGAGAACAGACTGTCAGCGGGGCAGCTCTACAAGGAACCAGCACGTAACTCAGACCGCCCGTCTTGTGAAGCAATTCTTCCGAAGGGCAGTTATTCATCTCGTGTTTTCTCCCTATTAAGAGCGTTGCTCCCGCAGAGGTTTGTGTCAAAAAACCCCGTTCACAAGTTCCCCTGTGCCAAGAAACAACAAGCTTCCCGGGAGCGACTTTTCTAGAGGCAAAAAGGAACCTGGAATTCACGTCTTCTTCAAGATTTCTCCGCGACACCGTTTTTCGCCCCGTTCTCTGTGGATTGCTTTGGAGGGCTCCACTACGGGATTCCCAGGAGCAACAGGTAGATGCACTCCGTGACGGAAACACAGGACACCTGGGAAACCTGCAACCTCGCCGGAAGGACACAAATCTGAAAAAAAGGGCTGAAAACGTCAGCGCAGCCTGCAGCGTTTTCAGACCGCTGGAACCGCATCTGCACTGTGGTTACAAGGGCAACAGGAATTCCATCCCCAGACAGTGGTACAAAACGCAGATATAAATCATACCCCAGCAGGCTGGATGCGTCTGATGGGAACTTGTGAAACGTACCCCAGGTGGCCACCGCGCCATGCCTGGCCACCTACTACTCTGCTGTAGTATTTCGCAGGAAAAAGGAGTTAGGCTGAAATCAGGAGCAATACGCAGAAGGTGGCAGTCGGCACGCTCGCTGGGACAGTGACAACAAGCGGGGAAGTATCTGTTTACTGAACGGATAAAAAAATTGTACAAACGGACAAAATGAACGCACGCGGCAAAGGAGGTGTAAGGCTGGAGTAAGGAGCACTGGAGAGGGGAGGTCACCGCTACCGGAGGGACCCCAGTGCTGCTGCGGAAGGTCATCGGTGCCTACGCAGTACGAATGTCCTGGCTGAACCCACGTTCCCAAAGCGACGTGACCCCGAGACACGGAGGACAGCCTGTAGGCAGACCTCCTCCCTGAAGGAGAAGTGGCTGGGTTCTGGCCCGTCACAGAAATCGGTGCCTCCTCACCCGCAGGCAGCCGCGCAGCCCAAAGTTGTGTCGGACGGTTCCTCTGAGCGCCTCTTCTCTTGCAGTCTGAGCTCTCGGTAGCTGGCCGTTCGCAGGCGGAACA